TCATTTGTTTGAAATAGATTCAATTCACTCATTCATTTAAAAGAAAATGTATGTGTTAATGTAAAGAGATTAATCTGTGGAATTAACACATTCATTTTTAACGCATTAATGCATGAATGCATCTTGGGGGTCGTGGCACAAAAAGTTTGAGAACCACTGATCTAGAACTTTACAAAATGTTTACCTTCAATATTACACTTCTTTCTTTTCTTTCTTTTTTTTTGTTGCATATTTTTAAGAAAATGCATGAAATAATCAATTAAAGAAGGTTTAAGAAGTTTGAAATGATTTAAAATAGAAAACCATTAAAAATACATTTGCAAAAGTAATTGTTTTCATATTTTATTTAATACATTAAACTGTGTGATTCAGTTAATCAGTTCAACTTTGAAGCTAAAAAGGATGAGATGAAATTAAAGACACTGAAGAGAATAAAGAAAATGAAATATACGCTTCAGTTTAAGGGAAATAGCAAAAAAGCGCCTTTACTATCTTTTAGGGGTTTTTTTGTTGTTTTTTGTTTTTACTTAATAAGATTTTCGTTCTAGCAAAACTTGAATTCATCATGCTCCACATCAAACTGAGAGTAATCAGAGGAGGTGTTTCATGACTGAAGTCCTGGTGAACTGGTTTTGCACCAGTGGATGGTTCTTATATGAAACTACCTTCTGGTTGTTACTACAAAGAAGAAGAACAAATTGGACAGGAAGCTGCTGCTGGTCTTCTTTCACTCGACCATGGAGAGCCTGCTGACGTACTGTGTCAGACAGAGCGAGGCTTCAGAGGACGGTCAATGCAGCACAGAGGATCGTTAGCTGCCCTCTGCCCTCCCTGACAGACATTTATACCACCCGGTGCCTCAGCAGAGCTCGCAACATCACCGAGGACAGTTCACACGGCGGTTCTCAGCTGTTTGAGCCGTCGCCCTCTGGTAGGCGCAACAGATGCTCCAAAGCAAAGACCAACAGACTGAGAAACAGTCTCTGTCAGAGAGCCATCACCACCATGAACTCTCACATGTAAAATATCCTCTCAACCTCCATAAGACTCCTCCACCGTGTGCACTGTGTGAATATTTATTATCTGTAAGTAAATGTTCATAATGTGTGTGTATATATCCATCATATCGTGCATTATTTCTTAAATATTTTATTTCTTTTTATATATATTTATCCCTTTTTATCTTTATATTTAACTATTTAACTATTTAACTTATCTTGTTTTTTGTTTATTTACTTGCACTGAAAATAGGAGAAGCTCTCCCATCTCGTTTTACACTGTTTGACAATAAAGAGCATTCATTCATTCATTCATTCATTCATTCATTCATTCATTCATATCTTTGACCTCCTGCAAGTTCATTCACAACTCAGCTGTACTTTGCAGCCAGAAATAGAGCCGCGAAACCCGCTGTAGCATCGATACTCAATCACAGCACGAGTCATTTGACTAAATGACTGAAGCTGGATCACTTCAGCTGCTCACTTCTGTCTCGTTAGTCTTCGTCCTCAGAAGCGTTTAGATCTCCAGCCGGGAGGCCAGATCGCTGAACTCAACTGAAGAGGTCTCCGATATTATAACAGATATGTGGAAGTAAAAGTGACCTTGTGTCTAACTGCACACAGACGTCTCTGCTTCATGAACAAACTGGAGATAAAGAGTTGGCAGACTCACGTAGATCCCTGGCAACAGTTGCAGCCGCTGTTTTCAAAGGGAAAAGTCTGTTGTGGGAATAGATTATTGGAGTTTATCGTCTGGCTTTGAGGGACAAAAGAAGGTCGACAGCCCGTCACAAAACCGCTCTTTAAATATCCTCTGAAACATTTTTCTGACTCCTGCCTGTTCGAACACGATGTTTAAAAAGAAAAACCAGATTCTATTGTTGAAGCCAAAGCTACAAGCTGCATGTGTGGTTTATTTATCAACCTAAATTTATAGACATATGCCTCCATGCCCCTCATGGGAGACATTTTCAGCACATGGGAAGCCATTAATCTGCCTTTAGAAGCAGTAACAAGTGCTGCTTTGCAATGACTCACAGTTCAGCGGTGTTATTAGCCACCCGCCGTGCTCTCTAGAGCCTGGGAAGTCTCATTATGAATATATATATAAAATCTGGTTGATGGGTATTCTGTAGAACAAGCAGGAAAAAATATACAAAGATATAGAAAGTCTCAGTAGCGCAAAAGATCAGTAGCGTACTTTTCAATCTCATTAGAAAGAAGCTTGACATGAAGAGCTACTAACTAAAATGTAAGTACATTTCTCTAGAATGTCAAAATTTTAAAGTCATTGTTTATCACAAGTTTGATCGTAAAAG